ATTTACTTCCAAGCGTACAATTTCACATAAACAAGAAAAAAAGAAATAAATACAAATAATGCAATAAATAAATTAAACAAATTGGTTGCATTTATGTTTTATGAAATTTATTTATATATACGATGTATTCTCAAATTAAAAGGCTGAAAATGATGCAGACCTATGCCATATTAAAAAAAAAAAATTAATGTATTAAAACTTTTGCTAAACAATGTTTTCTAATTATTTCTATGACATATTTACAATAGCATGATGTAATTATTTTATATTATAATAAAGAGATTAATGCAATATTGTGCAAACAATTGATTTAAAGAGTTTCTCAAAAATTTATTTCTCCTTATATAACATGCCAAATTTAAAATGTAGAAATAAACTGTATGTAAAATTTAGAAGTATACACAAGAAGTGTACAAATCTTTTAAAAATAAAATTTATATATATATATATATACATATAATAATAAATCGTTCTTGCTAAAATAACAATTTAGATATGCAGAATAAAAATTTCGATCATCTTAAAAATTACGAAGATCGTTGAAATACAATAAAAGTTTCTTTGAAATGTTAGTTTTGATTGTTTTATATTATATCATAATAAAATTTTAATTTATGGAACTACAATGATAATATTATATTAGTTTGCACGTGTCTTTATTATTTTGCTTATTGATATTAATATAAGGAACAATATGATAAAAAATACTGTTTTGATATCTAAAGTGCGACAAATTTAACAGAAATCTATAGTGCGACTGAGCATGCGCATTTAAATAAATATACATATATTATGACGATGAGATAAAAACCTGAACTGCATGACCGCCAGTATAGTTGATTATAATGCCCATAGTTGATTATAAGTGGATGTTACCTATTTATTATGTTTGCATTTCAACGACGTTTCTCATTTCTCGGCCGAGATGTCGATATTCGGCTGACTATTGAATGTCAATGGAGCAGCTGTGGATGTTAAGAGAATCTAAAAGCGGCCGGTACATTATGTCAAAACGATTTAGTATTACGATGAGTCACTGATATAATGTCGGTTAAATATTATCGCCATTCTTGTCAAATCTTCTTTTTTTTTGTAGAAAAATTGATTTTAAATAGTATTTTACATAGATTAACAGATTTTAATAAATTTTAAATATTGATTTTATATAGTAGAAATATTAGATTTATATGTATATTATATATTCTTTTCCTTTTTATATTTTTTTTCATAATCGTACTTTTAATTATAACTTGTTAGTAATGTAAGTATTGACATACACACATGTTTTTAATTAAGAAATTTGTAAATAACTTTGTTGTTAAATCAATGAGACAGACTTAAAGACTGGAGGAATTGCTTAATAAATAAGATCATAATTATAAGTGTTACAAAAATACTGTCACTTCAAGACGTTTAAGTTTCAAACTTTAAAATTTACGTAACATGAGAAAGAGAGAGAGATAGAGAGAGCTTTTTGATTTGTTTCTATATAACAATTAAAATTACTAAGGCCATTGATAAAATAAAGTATAATTCTGACTGTATGAAGCTCCTATCGCACTGGTCATTTGCCTATGTGATACGCGAGGCTAAAACATTTTTGTCGGGAGCTGATTCCGCAGCTAAGTGACATCAAATATTAAGTGCACAGATGCCGCAATCACATTCCGAGAGATATCCTTCCCACGCTATGTCGTTGAGTGAAATAAACCGCAATTTTGATTTCCATCCATGGATTCCAGTATTCCCATCGGTATTATATAGCTCGTGAAAAAAGTACCTTCTTTTTCTATTCTTCGTATCGGATCGAACATTCTCGATATGTGTGCATTGCTTCGTATTTGCACAAGATATTGATTGGAATTGGTCGTTGCCCTCGAGTGCTGGTCGCTTTAATCGAACAATAATTAGATATTGTAAATTACATACTAATTGGGAACATAATTCAGAATCTGCTGTGATTCATGGTATCTTATGGAAAGTAAAAGCAAATGCAATATACCTGTATTTACTGCATATCAATTCTTGAATTGTTATAATTATTAAAATATAAAGTTTATTAAATAAAAAGATTAGGAAAAAATTAAAATATAATAATTGTTAAATTGAGTAAAAATACTTGAATGTGTCAAAAAATTGATCTTATCACAGTTATAGAAATTTTAACAAACGATTTGCTTGCTTCTATGATATATATTGCATGCAATGTGCATAAAGATTATTTTATCATATCTTTTTCTTTGATGTTTATAAATATTGTTCTATGTGCTCGTTTTTCATTTCACATAAGCTTAATATTTTCGCATAAGGTCACATAATTATAAAAGTTCCCAGTTTTATAAATAGAAAAATACACAGAGATTCCAAATTATTATTCATTAAATATTAATATGTCCTGCAGAGGCAATGAATTTTGTTAATGAAATGATTCCATATATTAAAATATTACCATTAAAATTGAAAAGCAGTACATTCGAAAGTTGTAAATAGCGTTAAGAGTAACAAAAATAGATTAACAGTTATATTTCTTTATATTTCATATCATTAGCATTTTTTCACAAATACCATTTCTATCAAATATTAGATTTTTGCAATGCAAATAATCGATAATTTAGTCTCGCTTCAAATTTTTATATGTAGCACGTCATGTAAAACATTAATTAATGTTAGTATCAATAATACTAGTATTATTTGCGATTAAAATTGATTCAATCTTTGTTGAATTTGCATATGTTGGCATTTAAAAAATAAAAACTAATTTTAATTTTCCAAAATATGAAAAAGTAGAAATTATTGAAAGCTCGACTTCTTTTAATTTGCTAAACATAGTAGAATCACTATGTATGTGTATCTATTAATTTATAACATTTAGTATAGCAATTTCTGCATTTAAAAATCCAGTGCTGGAGTAAAATAGACCATCCGCCAAATATATTAGCAATTTAATAAGTTACGAATTACTGTTCATTTTTGTAATTATAAATTCTTCTATGAGACCAATATCTATTTTTTATGATTGTAATTTCTTCGAAAAGGCGTATATATTTTACGCTTTCCTCTTTAATACATTATAAAAAGAAGCCTTACGAAATCTTTCGTGCAAGATACAATAACAAAGTTTTCGAGACGCTATATATAATTGATAAACAAAATACAATTTTATAAAACTATTAGTGTTTGAAAATCTTATATAATAGAAATAAACTAATTACATATTTTTAAATTCAACATAATTATTTTTATTATGTAATCTGTCAATTTAAAAAATATCGCTTTTTCCTAGAATTTATATTTTAAGCTTAAGCTGTATGAATACATTGGTAACATTTTTTAAAAAATTGTAACTAGTAAAATCAAATTTGTTAATACAATATAAGATAATATTAAAATTACCTCAATTTTTTATGTGTATTTTTTTAAATCTTAATAAAACAATTTTCATTATTAATTGCTAAAATAATTTCCTTATATTATTTCCTTATATTATTTTCACATACGCGTCACACGCATATATAGTCTTGTTATGCAATAAAACATGATGCGCAAAAAAACTAGTCTGTGCTACTTTTTTTCTGACAATAGAAAAGAAGCGGTTTCAGTTGATATTTCGACTTTGTCATATAGTTCTATTATATACAATGAAAAAATAAAAGTACAATTTATAAAGCTCGGAATTTTTTATGTTTGCAAAGCTTTAATATTTTTTTTATTATTTACTTTTTGCATTTTCTCTCTTTTTCTCTATCCTTCTTTCTGTCTTTTTTTCTGCCACTTATTTAAATTGAGGAAATTAAACAATAATAATATATATTAAAAATATTATATAATTGAATATATATATACACACACTATATACATATACACATTCTATAGTCTTGTATATATTCATAAGAATATGTTTGTGTTATTGAGAAAGATAAATTAATCGCTAAGTTGTAATACAACTGATATAATTCATCGAGTATAAATGGTTAGATAAAATTAATTGATTTATGTGCATGTTTGTGCAAACATGCGCGTACAGATATACATTTAATCTTAAGGCTAAAGAATTAGTGCTGAACACTCATTCTCCAAAACTAAAAGATACATATAAATTAAAAAACAACTACACTATAAATAATGTAAACATATAAGATATAACTAATACACTATAAATAATGTAAGCTATATATAATTGATAAACAAAATACAATTTTATAAAACTATTAGTGTTTGAAAATCTTATATAATAGAAATAAACTAATTACATATTTTTAAATTTAAAATAATTATTTTTGTTATGTAATCTGTCAATTTAAAAAATATCGCTTTTTCCTAGAATTTATATTTTAAGCTTAAGCTGTATGAATACATTGGTAACATTTTTTAAAAAATTGTAACTAGTAAAATCAAATTTGTTAATACAATATAAGATAATATTAAAATTACCTCAATTTTTTATGTGTATTTTTTTAAATCTTAATAAAACAATTTTCATTATTAATTGCTAAAATAATTTCCTTATATTATTTCCTTATATTATTTTCACATACGCGTCACACGCATATATAATCTTGTTATGCAATACGTAAAAAACATGATGCGCAAAAAAAACTAGTCTGTGCTACTTTTTTTCTGACAATAGAAAAGAAGCGGTTTCAGTTGATATTTCGATTCGAAAAATGTAGCGAGTAAATGTTGAGAATTGGATACGACGTTCGAGAAGCCACCTTAAAGCTGTCATTCTGAAAAAGTGCGATCCCTTTAAAGATTGCGGGCACGGGCCTTTGAAAATTTCGCTGGTGGTATTGGTCGTAGCTTAAATTCTCCCTCGACGCTATATACATCTACCCCTCTATCCTCGTCCCTTTTGCCCGGCGTTCAACTCCTTCTCTCTCCCACTCACGAGCCCGAGATATGCTCGCTCATTCAAGCTCGACCCCAGTCGCCTCGACAACGATTCAGTCGCGGTCGACCCGCCACGCTGCGAGCTTTGCCGAGTACGTGTGTGCTACGATTTGTCTCTCTCTTTTTCCTTCTTTCTATTTCTCTTCTTCGCTCGTCTCTGCTTCTTACCATCTTTCACCTTATATCTTTAACCGTCTTTTTCTATCACATATGTACATCGCCTTCCTTTCTTTCTATCTTTTTTTTTCCTTTTTCGATCTTGTTTCATTCTAATTGAGTCACTGTTCTTTAAGAAAATTAACATGATCTTTTATATATAAAGAGAGGAGTGACGAAATTTCTCTCTCTCTACTTGGCTTACTAGCCGAAAAAAACCGAATTTGTGAATCGAAGCTTACTTTATATTTTTCTATGGAAAAGAGGAGAGAGAAAAATAGAAAGAGGTAAAGAGAGGATGATAGAAAGAGATAAGCGCGAAATCGACTTGGAGGGTCGAAGCTCCAGGTTCGGAGCTTGCGCCGGTTCGCTAGGAGCTCGGACTCTCGCGTATGACAGCGCAGGGAATCTTTCCAATTTTCACATCGCAAATATCTGATAAAATTAGTCGATTCATAATTAATCTTGTCAGATTGTTTTCATGCTAGTAAATGTGTGAGATAAAAGAAAGCGTTGACTTTTGCACGAGTTCCCTCGAGTTCTACATATTTCAAGAGCAGGATCGTACAGAGGACGTTGGAACGCTAAAATGTGTCATCGGCGATTCCTGCGTCATTTAGTTTGAAACCAGTGTATGAGTACTTTCAATCACGTCGAATTCTATTTTTGATTGAAATCGAGAAAAGAATCTATGAATTTTGTAATTTTAGTGTTGTGGAATATCATGTCTCAAAAAAATCGACGCAAAAAATCCAAAAATGCTCCTGGAAAAGAGTTGTACGGCCGAGGAGTTACATTGGACGATTCGGTCTTGTAATAGAAAGTGTGTGCTGTCGATATGTGCAATTCGATGAGCGACGCGCCGCGATAATGAAGTGATTTAGTAATCGTGATAACGTTTATGGTGCACATGTGCGCAAGTGGCGACAAGTGCATATGCATTCTGTGAGAACGTGCTTTATGCTTGACAACAATAATTTTATTGAAAATTGCAAGGGATTAGCAATCACATACGATTGCGTGGAGGACCAATTCACGTGTAAGTTTTCCGCAATATTATATGATAACGCTATGTCTTTCATAATTAAACAATAAGACTTGATATTTTATGGTGCATACATATTTTTGAATACATTTTCGGTTAAAAATCTTGATTAAATATATTGAAGAATCATTCAGTTCATCTGGTTTATATATTTGGATATTGGCAGTTTATATATATATATATATATGTATGATATTGAGATATAACAATAAAAATGTTCTTGTATAAGATCGTCTCGTCATATATTTACATTTTAATCGTTTCATCGCTTTATAAATTATTACAATAACATCTAAAATAAACGAGTTATTATCATATAAATCATACAAAGTTTAATTATTAAATAATACAAGTCATAAAGCTTCATAATATCAATACAACTTTAAAAGAAATAAATGCAGTAAATTTGTTATTAATAAAAATGGATTGATAACACAAATACTTTATTACAAGCTTAAGAATTAGAGACACATATTTAAATATATTAAATTATTAATTTTAAATAGATTTAATTTAAAATTAAATATTTTGAAAGTTGAACTTAAAGATTTGCATAACGCGACATTATGTTTGATATTTCTTATCTTTTGCAAAAACTTCATAACATTGTTTTCATGTTTATATCAGATCATCAATTTTACAATTAAAAGTTTGCAAAGAAATAAATCCCCAAAGTTATGTCAATTAAAAATTCTGAATTTTGTAAAAATATTATTATTTTAAAACGATAGATTTTTTTGTAACATTCTACGCTAATATGTTGCTAATTATAAATCTGTTTTAAAAAACGATATATAAGTATGGCTTGCGTTGCGAGGCTGTTAACAGATTTTTATGTACATCTGTTGGTTCACTATCGTGTCGACAAACTGATTTTGTTTGATTTTGTTTACTAGCTTAGCGAGGTCGCATATGCGAAGCGAGAAAATTATATTTAGCAAATGAGATCCTATCGTGTCGCACGGTATTGCTTCGCGTGACATGAGAAATAAGTATTTGCGGCTATTTGTCCGCGTGCGCTTGCGCTATATTTCGTTTGCGGCTTTTGATGCAGTATCATCGGCATACACTACGGGAATTCTCTGTCTATGTATAAGCAAAGATCATTTAGGCAAATTTAATAATTACATTGAAATTGAATCAATGTACGTGCGACATAAAAAAATAGATATGATAGGTGACGAATAAAACAAAAGTGCGAATAATATAAAAATTATAAGTATGATAATATATATATATATA